CAGGTGGGTGTGCGGCAGGGCAGGGCGCTGCGGCTCAGGGTTGGTTGACCCACCGGCGCATGTCGTTCTTGCGTGCGAGCACACACACACACACTCGCACACACAAACACTCACCCCAACCCAACCCACTCCACCCCCACCCCTGCGCTCTGACACCGCAGCGACGAGCAGCTGGACGAGGCGCGCGCTGACCTGGCGGACGTGAAGGAGCTGTTCAGGGCGCAGCTAGAGCAGCTGGTCTCGCAGCTCGAAGACGCGCGGCGCGGAGGGGCGGGCGGCGGCGGCGGCGACGAGGGGGGGTGATCTGTCCAATCCCCAACGTCAGGTCACGGCTCTTAGCCTGGGAGCTGCTGGTGTGGCTGGGGCCGTGAATCACTGCATGCTGAAACCCCCAACAATTGATGCTTGGAGGGACCACTGAATACTTTTCATTGTCTCGGCTGCAATGCCGCTTCCATTGAGGGTGCGCTACACTCGATCTGCACAGCTGAGCACCTCATTCCCACAGCACATTGTTGGGCGCTGCCACACGCGCCTGCTCAGTCTGTAGTACAAGTAAGAGCTGCAAGTTGGTTGCCTAAACAAGAAAGGGTTATAACTACAGACTGATGCATGCCAATGTTTGGTGCAGCACAGACACAAAACCAAGACCAACTCAGCAATCTCCCATCGCCACAACCACAATCTCACACGGGGTGGGTCAACGGTCAAACCACCCCGCTTAACGGTCAACCCAACAGGCGTCCCGCCAGCTCGTCATTGTTTAATCCCTAACCAAAGCTTGACGACTCTCGATCAACTGGACGTCCATCACCCCAGCCCAGGTAGCTTCATGACTGTTGAGACTACCCAGACGCGTTGTTCTCGGCGTCCACCGCCTGCTGCCGCCGCTTCGCGCGGGCGGCGTTCCCCCGCCGCCCGCCGCGGTGGTAGTAGCGCCTGGGGGCCGCAGCAGCCCCCTGCTGCTGGCCGTTCTCCTCTCCAGCTGCCTGCAGGGCCGCGCCGATGAAGTCCTGGTTCGGCTCCGGGGCACCAACGTCGCTTACACCATTGTCCCGCTGCCCGGCCTCCTGGCTGCCCGCTGCCCAACCGCCCCGCGCATCCCAGCCGTTGCCGGCGGGCTGCGGCTGCCTGTGCTGCTGCTGATGCGGCGGGAGCGCCCGCTGCTGCTGAGGCCGCAGCTGCTGGCCCCCCTGGTGCAGTAGGGCCGCCACTGCGCTCACGTGCTGGCACGACGCGCGCACCCGCCGCGGCACAGCGGGCGCCGCGCTGGCGCCGGTGGTGGCTGGGGGCTCCCGGTCGCAGACAACCCTGTCGGTGCCATGAAATGCAGCTGTCGGATCCTCTGCCTGCTGCTCGGACGCGGCGGCGTATGGGCCGGCGCAGTCCAGCTCGCAGCCCAGGTCCTGCACTGCAGACTCCAGCCGCTGCGGGCCGCACTCGCGCGGCGGCTTCAACTGCTGGTGCTGGTGCTGGTGCTGCTGGGGCCCTTGGGCACGTGTGTTGACTGACATCCCCTGCTGCTGCGACGCAGGGGCCCGGGGCGCCTGAGCGGCCGGCGGGGACTGTCTCATCTGTCCCGCCTGCCGAAGGAGGCGCAGCACCCTCGCCCCCTCAGCCGCCTGGTGCTGGCCGGCGCCGTCCAGGCGCTGCCGCGCCGGCCCGTCGTCGCGGCCACTGTTAAACTCCTCAGTCGTGTCGCAGCTGGCGCGGCTGGCCGGCGGCGGCTCAGGGTGGGACAGCGTCACCCCGGCCTGCACGGTTGAAAACGCCGCCGCATCAGCGCAGGCGTCCTGCTGCTGGGCCGTTGGGCCACTCTCGCAGCCGATGTTCTCGGTGTCGTCATCATTCCAGTCCAGGCTTGCGGCCAGGGAACCGAAGAACAGCAGCTGCTGCGGCGCCGCCGCCATCGCCGGCATCTCAATCTGTGATCCCACATCGCTGGTGTCGACGGCCGGCGGTGAGAGCCCGCTGACATCGCTGGAACCCAGCCAGGGCACCGGCTGCTGGTTGTCCTCGTTAGTGGGGCAAGCGACTGGCTCCAGCGGTGCAAGCTCCTCCACTGCTGCGAGCAGTGGTGGCCACGGCAGTGCCGTCGCTCCGTCACCGCCGCAGTCACTGACCTGCGCCTGCTGCTGCTGCTCGTGCGTGTTCTGGGGTGCTGGCACGGGGAAGCCGGTGGCGCCCCGGCCACAAAGGGTCTGGCCCAAGCGCGGCTCGGACACGCAAGAGCGCACCGCCATGGGGGCAGCGTTGCGGTTCGGGAACACGGGGGCGGGGCCCATGAGCAGGGACGCCATGTGGGCGGCCAGGCCGCGGCTGATGTGGCTGCGTGAAACCATCCCGGATGCCACAACGCGCTGCCACGACTGCCTGTGCAGGCAGCTCGCCGCGAGGGCCTCCAAGCGCCACAACCTCATGCCGTCGCAAGGCAGCAGCGGCGGTGGCACTGCGAACAGCGCGTCCGCCCGTCGCGACAGCGGCGGCAGCACGTGTTGCTCGAACTCGAGAAGGGCGCGGGGGACGCCGCTCGCCTGCGGCTGGCAGGCCCCAGCCGGCGCCGGCACCGGCGGCAGCAGCAGGGGCTGAGGCGCAGCGCAGCGGAGCAGGTTCAGCGGCTGCAGGGTGCAGCGGCCGTCCTCGCTGCAGACTGTGAAGGCAGCGTGGGTCGTGACGCTTGCGGTGTTGTTGCCTTTACCAACAGCGCACTGCTGGCTGACCAAGACGACGACGGCGTGAGGGGCGTCGCCGTTGCTGCACGACTGGTGGTTCGAGGAGGCGAGGGGGCCGAGGTGCATCAGGGACGCGCCGCCGTCGCCACCGTCGCTGCCGCCGCACTGCAGGGCGCGCGTGGCCATGGCCCTCGAGCTACCAGCGGAGACAAAGAGTGGCTGGCTGCGGCGGCTGAAGCGAAAGAGCGGCGCGACGGTGACTGTTGCCACGTCGCCATTGAGGGTCATTAGAAGCTTGGTGATTGCGCCGCGCCAAGCCGCAGCGGCCCATGCACCAGCAAATGCAGCGATGGGGGTCGCCGGCAGCTCGGAGGCGGCACCAGCCGGGGGATACGTGCTGATGATCGCAGTTGCAGGTGTAGACGCCGGAAGCTCAGGCAACGGCCGCGGCACGATGTTGCCGTCGGCCGGAAGGCAACTGGGCTGAGGAGTGCTGCGGCAAGGCTCGGCGACTGTAGTAGGTTGCGCCGCTGTGACGGCGGCGCGGTCAGACTCACAATTGCCCGCAGCAGCGAGCCCATCAGCGCGCACAGCGGCGCCGGACAGCTGCGGCGCGGCTGCTGCCGCAGGGCCGAGGGGGCGCGGCACGGCGGGCGCGCGCGCCCTGGCCAGCAGCACGCGGCGGGCGGCCGACGGCAACACAAACCACGCCAGGCGGTGGCGGGACGCAGGGGTCGCCGCGGCCGGCGGGGACGGCACCGTGTCTGTCGACAGGACCTGGACACAGGGCTGTGTTAGTGGCGCCGGCGGGGGGTCGCCACGATCTGGGGCCGGGGGTGGGTCCCCGCGGTCGTGCTTTGTGCTGGGTCTGCTCCAGCAGGGGGTCAGCACGCGCTTGATGGCCTTCCATAGGCGGCCAGCAGAGCCCGTCCTGAGGATCATGGGGGCAGAGATACACAAAAGGGTTCAGCAGGTCTGATCGTGTGGAGTGGTGGCAACAGCGCGCCTCCTGTGTTTCGCCAAACGCGCCAGTGTGTGCACCGCGCCGCCTTCCTGCAGTGCAGCCACCCCCGAAACTGCTGCACCCCCGCGGCGTTGCCCGCCTCTGAGTGCCAGGTGACCGATCCTATAGATGCTAATCTCTCACCTCAACCCCTTGCTGCGAGGTTTGGGGGCTCTGCTCGACCGCTTGGGGCTCAGCTCCGCGGAACCCCTTCTGTTCGGGGGCTGCTGGGGCGCAGGATATGGTGCCTGGGCGACGATGTTGATCATCACCGACACCACCAACGCGAGGGCGAGGCGCAGGCTCGCCATCTGGGACCGACCGCGTCAAATATGGCACCTCGAAACGCGGTCGTACGCGTCTTGCTATTCTTAACAGAGAAAGTACATCTTCAAAACCTCTTGAATTCGTTTGGCTATGGGCTTCACCTGGCGGTTGTCGGCAAGTACTCCTGCTGCCCATGGGCGCATGCGCAAGCGAGCGGCTGCAGGTGCAGAAGCTGCGGGTATGAGTTCTCACCCTGCACTGGGGGACCGCCTTGAATACATGTGCGCATGGTGCATGTGCAAAGATGCCAGATGACCTGGCATGCAGCGCATGTCGCATGACAGGCCGGCGTGTCGACCACAGCGTTGAGACAGCAACCAACCCAGAAGCAGAAGGTGCCACCCCTGCATTGCCATGCAGCTTGCGAGTCGTCCCCATGACAATGTTGTCATGGTACGCACATGAGGAGGTCCGCAGGGGCACTGTGGCGGCTGTGATTTGGTTCGAGCTGCGCTGGACGAGAAGAAGCTGGTGTGCTGCTGCTCAGCACGCCAAGATGATCTATGCAGCCGCGCGCCTGCGACCGTTGCGCGCCTGGCTGGGGGCTCCCTGGAGTAAGCACGCGGCATTATGTTGCTTCAACGGCCCATGCAAGCATCGACACACCTCAGTTGTTGCAGGTGCATTTTAACCATGATAGAATCTCACCAGAATGCACGGCGAAGAGCGACGCATGCGCCGAACGCATACATCGTCGCCGGCATGTGAAGCACCGCAGGCCAGCACGCCACTCGACATGCATGATATCTCAGCCAGCAACTCGTTCGTAACATAGAGGATACATATGGCCGCATGGCAGCACACCCCATGCAGATGACAATGACACAATTCAAGAGCAAGATGCAAAGCACGCTCGCACGCCACATCATTAGCTTGCCGCTTGCTGCTGCTGCTGCTGCTGCTGCTGCTGCTCACGTGCCGCCGCCTGCTGCCGCCGGTGCCACGCCACCACGTCCGCGTAAGGCAGCTTTCCCCCAAAGATGTCTAGGGCGCTCCCAACAGTGATGTCCACGCGACCGCGGCCCGAGGTGCGCACACGCTCCAGATCCTCCTGCAGGGGGGCGCACGAGCATGCGGGGCCAGCCGGTGAGTCAGCAATCAGCTCACATCCTCTAGACAAATGCTGCAGCTTTGCTCTGCAAAAAAGGCAGTGCGCACCGTCATGCTTATCTGGACTTCGCGGACAGCTGGCGCACAGGGAGAGGGTATGTGGGCCAGTGGGCCCAACATGCCTGGCGGCTGTGTTTCGCGAACGCCCTATTTCAGCCGGTGCGCACCAGCGTGCGGGCGCCGCCCGCATACGTAACGGGGATGGGCGACCACCGCCCCAGTAGCTCCACCAGCTCATCATCAATCCCCAGTTGCATGCCCTCCACGTCGACGCCGTGCACCAGGAACTCGTCGCAGCTGCCCGCCAGCTTCCCCAGGGTGGCCTCGTCCAGGGCGAGGGACGAAAACTTCTGCCAGCGGTCAGTCACCACATAGTATTGGCCGTCCCTCTTGCGGCAGCTGAGGTCCAACACTAGTCGCTCCCTGCCAACGCGCCCCACCTGATGGAATCAGGGCGGGCGTCACCGAGCATTGTGAGGTGAGCGAGGAGGGGGAGGGGCTGCGTGGACTCAGAGGGCGTCCGTTGCCGTTGCAGGTCTGAGGCAACAGTGGCTTTTGCTGCGCAACGCGCCTGGGCGTGGCAACGCCTGCTGGTCAAAAAACGAACCAGCGGATGCATGAGTTGCTACGATAAGCCGACGCCCAGGTGTTGCCATGCGTACAGCCCAATCAGCATCCTCCAAGAGCACGGCGCCCCGCGATTACATTGCTCACCAAGTCTCTCAACCGATCCTCCTCGAGCCGGCCCTCCCTGAACACATATGATGTCACGATGACGTGGCTGGCGCCCGCGTCCAGCCACTCTGCCGCGTTGTCGCTGGTCACGCCGCCGCCCAGCTGCAAGCCGCCCGGCCATGCGCCCAGTGCGCCACGGGCAGCCTCCCTGCAGCGCCACGAGTCGAGGCCAGGCCCGGTCGGTCAACGAGCAGTTGCGGCTGCCCTCAGCAGCGGCGCATGCCCACAGCGTCAGCAGCACGTGCTATCATTGTCAGCATCTGCTGCCAGCAGCGGCCCCACCAGAGCCAAAACCATCAGCAGCAAAGGCGCAGGCATCAGAAGCGGCGCTGAGACCGCCATCCGCCACCTGCCATCACGGGCGCTGCCGCCTGCGCCGTCTTTCTGACCCTGCACCCCGCGACCCGCGATGACCAATGCAGCGGAGCCCTCAAGCACCTGGCCAGCGGCAGCACACCTGCTGGCATCGTCGGCACCCAGCATGATGACATGGCCGCCAGTCAGCGCGTCGCGCGCATACAGCTCCGCATACCAAGACGACGGCTTGTCTGACACAAAATTGGTCTGCAGCGCCGCTGCCGGCGCCTGAGTGGGTGATGCATCGCCGCTGCTGCACGGCGTGGGAGCGGGGTGGGGTGTGTGAGCGTCGTTGCAGGGCCGAGGAGCGGCAGCGAGGGCCTGGGACGAGCAAGCATGGGCGCTGTTGCCATTGCACCAGTGTTTGAAGCTCACCCGCCAGCAGGGAGGTCTACCAGTGTGGAGCCAACAATCTGCTTGACCTTGCCCTGCGCACGATGGCCAGCGCACCCATGCGCCCCTGGTGAGATGCGGGTGTCGGCCGCAAGCTCAGCGAAGCACACGCAGCAGCAGAAACGCCAACAGCAGCCCGCCCGCAAGCACCTTGTGAATGTCAATGCAGGGGCGAAACTGGATAGCTCTGGTCTGAGTGGCTGCAGAGGCTGCCACATGCGCCACGTTGGTGCGCCCAGGGCGCAGCATTGCTTCAATCAGTGAATCAGATCGCGACGGCTGCGATTTCGATTGACATATGCGTCAGAATCTGATCAAAAGCCATCATGCGTTCCGATTATATACATATGCAACAGACCGTTGCTGCGCAAAAGCTCGATGTCCCGGTGTCTCGAGTGACTGGCGTGCAGAACAAAATTGCATCGCCATGCAGCACCCCTCCTACGAGAAGAGCGAGTATGCTCAGTACGTCACACAACACAATCATCACCAGCAACTAGATCATGCATGCCTTGACCGCCGATCGCTCTCGTTGACGTGTTTCACTCCTGATCCAAGAACATGGTTGCACCGAGTATATCGTACCATGATGACTAAGTGCTTGGTTGGCTTGCAGAAACGTGACAGCGTCTGCAATTGCACACACAGCATCAAAGCGGCAGTGTAGCAGCGCTACTGGGGAGGCGGGAACCAACAGCCAGCCGAGGGATGGACGGGGAGGAGTTCCGCACAGTGCGCTATGTCACACAAGATCCAATCCAGAATTTGCGGATACGAGTCACGCTCACGCGGCTGAGCGCACAGCGCGGCGGCAAGGCAAACATCGCACAGCAGGTTGGTCGCCCTGGGCTGCTGACTACCACAGACATGACCTGCCGATTGCTTGAGTAAATAAAGGTTAGGTTGAGGTTCTCAAGCAAGATATGAGACTACGACCTGCCGCCAAAATTGTGTGCAGGTGCCTGATGCAGCCAACGCGCACGACAACGCCGCGGGCGGCGACGCCGTCGCCGTCGTTGCGGTGGCCGCCCCCACGACGCGCCCTCAGCCTGCGCACGAGACGAGGGTTTTCGGGTGGCAAGAGAAGGTTTTCAGCAGGGCGGAGGTCGCGGCGGCGCAGGCGGCGGCACGCGAGGGGGCGCCCGCGGCAGCCGGGGGGCGGGTGTCCCCGACACGTCGTGCGGAGCACTTTGGCTCGCAGCAGCACTTTGGGGCTGAAAAGCTCCTGGTAAGCGCGGCCGTTGAGAACCCCCGCGTCAAACACAAACAGCCTCAGATCAGCGTGACTGTGTGTGCCCCGCGCTGGTCGCACCCGCGCACCTGTCCGCACGCCTCTCACCAGCCCGCCAGCAGCCCGTCGGAGCAGGCATAACATGCCCCTGTCGCCATGCCGAGCCGCGCCGCCTCCACCCATCGGCACGTGCGCAGGAGGGCCCGCCCGAGGAGGGCGCCCTGTTTTCATACGTTCACACTGACAATGTCTGTGAGGCGGCGGAGACACTGAAGGCTGTCAGCACCAGCGAGCACGAGGCGGGCAACCACCTCATGCGGCGCCTGAGGGGGGACCCGCGCTACAGGCAGAAGGTGCGGGCTCGATGGCGCGCGCTTCGCTGGTGCAGCCTGCAAGTGGGCTGTATATTTACAATCCTGCAGCTGCAGCAGCGCCGCGGTCTCAGGGGCATTTGTTTCCTGTGTCACCGAAAGGGCATCAGATGTGCAGTCGGCGATGGAGACGGCACATCCACTCTCACACACTCACACACACCATCACACTGAAACTCACAAGCCCCTCCTGCCTGTGCACACCCTGCAGATGCTCAACTTCCGCTGCATGTACATAGTCGCTGACCTGGGAGACGAGCGGGCGGCGGCTGGCTGCAGCGAAAAGGTGGGTTCGGCGGGGGGTGCTCTGAACCCATCTTGGAGGGGCATGGCTGGCGATTGGAAGGCCACTCATCATACTACTTGCGCAGTACACAACAACAAGCATGTCATTTCATTTAGCCAGGCACAACACAATACGGTCTATTGGACCTGTTTCCCGACATTCCACGCCGCGCCGTACCACGCGCAGGTGTTGGTCGCGGTGCGCGCGCACGCGGACGGCAGCTTTGACATGCGGCCAGGGTTCAGCGAAGGGGGGCGGCGCTACCGCTTTGAGGACGACCACGGTGCGGCAGGGAGAGGCAGCTGCCGGCCAAGGCAACGCCCAGACGCTGCGCTGCTGGGGTGAAATGAACAGTCGAAGTCGTGCTCGCGGCTGAGGATGGGACGATTGCTGTCAAGGTTGTTTGCAGACCAGCGACCGAACAAACCAACGACAAGCAGGCGGCTGGTGCCAACTGACCCCGCCGCTTGTGGGCCGCACGCGGCTGCCTCTTGCTGGTGTGTGTGTGTGTGTGTGCAGGCAGCATATACGAGTACACCGTGGAGAGCGCCTCGCGCACAGACCCGCCCTGCCTGGAGCGCCGCGCTGCGAAGCTCGGCGCCGCCCTCGCAGCCTCGACCGCGGCCGGGCTGCGGCGCGGCGGGCCGGGTGCTGCTGTCATTGAAGGGTCACCAGGTGACAAGCGAAGATGCCCCTGGTTGTTGCTCCCATCACACGAATTACTCCTCTATGTTATTGTTCTTTTTGCAGTAGGCCACCTGCCGCTGCAGCATACCTGATCTTATTGCGCTCAATTCAGCTGCCCCCCACCCCGCCGCCAGGCTCGTCGCCTGCCGCCCTGCGGCTCGCGTTGTTTGGGGAGCTGGTGGCGGGTGCGGGCTTCGAGGTCGACCGGTTGTATGTGGAGTGGCGCGTCGCATATGATCCGGCGATCTGGCTGCTGCAGGGGCCGACGGAGGCGTGCGATGCCGACCGGCCGGGCGTGCTGCAGGTGAGCCCGATTGCCAAGCAATGCAGGACGTTTGAAGTTGTCTTGGATGTGCAGATTGCAAGTGGCGAGGGGTCGAAATCGTGAGGAGGCGCCTGCTTGGCAGGCTGGCAAGCTGCACGCGTAAGCGATGGGCTTCTCAGGAAGGCTGACTCCCCTTCTCCTCAGGCACTCATTCATGCGCATGTACAAGATCCATGGATATTCATAAATCCATGGATATTCATGAATCATGTTGGCAAGGATTTCTGTCAGATCCTCGGGGCCTCTCAGTGTATCCCGGTTATGCTGCGTGCCGCACCCACAGGGCGTGACTCACGTCTCCCGGGTGGTGCTCTACCCGGAGCACCCGGCTGACCCAGCGCCGCCGCCGTGGGTGGCGCACTGGGCGCACCCCTTTGAGGCGGAGTGGGTCGCGAGGGAGGTGCCGCAACCAAACAAGTGGCCGGTCCTCACACTGCAGGTGCGCAGCGCTCGTGAGGGCATGTGCGTTCACGTCGAGTCAGGCGACTGAGACTTGCTTGCCATTGATCATGTCTGAATTTGCTGAGGTGGTAGGTCAATAACATTTGCGTGCCATTGATGCAAGTGATTGGGTCGGACTCACCAGACCCCACTCATTACTGTTACGCGCCGCCTCCCTCCAGCCCTGGCCCCCTCGACCCACGCTCACCAGCGCGCCGACGCACACCCGCCAGGTCTGCTCGTACGACCCCTGGGACCGGTACACCTGTGAGGGCTACGGCTGGCTGCGGCTGGGCACCGCGGCCGGCAGCGCGACGCACTTGGTGCCCACTTGGAAGCCGCAGGGTGGGTGACACGGCAAAGGTTATTCTTGCCCTAGTACTCCTCTTTGGTTTGACTATGACGTGCAAACAACAGGCACAAGGGGATGTGACACGCCTGGCAAAGGTGCCAGCTGCGTCGGTGGCACATGCAGACACAAGCGTAATCATACACAGAGGGCATGCACATGTGCGCGCACCCCATCTCCTGCACACACACGCGCGCACGCGTGCGCGCGCACACACGCACGCATGCACGCATGAATGACTGAGCAAGGATGCAAAATCTCAAAACCCTCAAACTCACACAATCCAGGAACTCGTCGGGACCAGCAGGAAGCCTTCTTCATCGGCGGATCACCAGAGCTGGCCGACATTGCAACTGTCGCCCAGTCACGCCCCTCAGAAGGCGCCCAACTGGCCGCAGCGGGCGCCCCCGTTGCTGCCGGCAGCGGCCCCTGCATGCTCAACAAGTACGGCTTTAAAACAGTGTCCAGCGGGACCGTCAAGGTGCGGCTGCACTGCGTGCACCAGTTTGGCGGCTGCGGCGGCGGCGGCGGCCCAGGGTCCCCGAACAAGGGCGCAGTGCAGCAGCGGCAGGGTGGTGGTGGTGGCGGCGGCGGCGGCCCGCGGGGCCGCAAGGAGCTGCGTCTGGCGGTCGTGCTGGAGCGGGCGCGCGCGCGGCTGGAGGACGCGCGCGCCGGCGGCGGCGAGGTCGCGGTGCGCGGCGGCGTCGTCGCGGCGGCGCCGTTTGTGCGGCGGCAGCCGGCGGACGCGGCGGTGGATGAGGGCGCGACGGTGCAGTTCAGCGTCGTGGCCGGGGTGAGGGGTCCGGGGTGCGGGGCAGCGGCGGGTGCCTGACCTTCTGTGGGCTGCCTGGGCGGTATTGACCGAGCTCACAGCCTCGATAGTCGCTGATCGCTCCTGGCAAGGCGTGGTGCTTGTTGGGGTCGATACGCGGCGGTCTGCGGCTTCAGCGCCTGACAGCTTCCATGCAGCTGCCGACCCCGCTGCGCCGCCACCCGGCCGGCCCCTTACTTCTGACCAGGGCGCCGAGCCTCTGGTGTACAGGTGGCACAAGGACGGTCGCCGACTGCGCGTCGCAACGGCCGACACACCCGACCTGATGATCGTGGGCGTCACCGGTGCCGACGCGGGGCAGTACCACTGCGAAGTGACTAACCCGGACGGCGAGGCGTCCAGCGGCCGCGCGGTGCTGACCGTGCGGCGGGTGTCGCGGCTGCAGAGGGTGACGGCGGGGGAGGCGGCGGGCGGCGGGAGGGATGGCGCAGAAGGCGGGGTAAGTTTCCTCCCTGAAAATCGCCTCGGGACTCGAGTTTTGTTGATGAGGATTTGTTGCTGCATACAGCCTCGACGGTCCCTCGCTTGGCTCCGCATGCGTCCTGCACTGCTGGGCAAACCATGCTAATAACCTGCTGGGCACACCATGCTAAGGCCCTGCAATAGCGCCACACACGCGTCCAGCTCAATGTGCTGCTCCTCGTTGCTCTGCAACCCACCGCACGCAGTCTCCCGTGCCAAACGGAGCGCTGGGCAGCCGCACGACCGTGCCCCGCACCCTGCTGCGGGGCGGCGGCGGCCTGCCCTACAACCCCCGCGCCGGGGCGACGTCGCCCGCCCTCACGCGCCCGCCCGCCGCCAGCCGCGGCGCCGACCCGGGCGGGAGCGGCAGCGCCCCGCCGCAGCAAGAGCGGCGCGCGCGCGCAAACTTGTTCCGGGCGCGCGCGGGCGCCGGCCTCGGCAGCGAGCGGTCGGGGGGTGGCGGCAGCCGCAGCCAGGCTGCAGATGGCGCGGGCGCGGCCGGCCTGCCGCCGCTGCAGGGGGGAGCATGGCGCGGGGGGCTGCTGCAGGGCACCCTTGAAGGGCAGCAGCAGCAGCAGCAGCAGCAGCAGCAGCAGCAGCAGCAGCAGCAGCAGCCGCAGCAGCAGCCGCAGCAGCAGCCGCAGCAGCAGCCGCAGCAGCACCAGCCGCCGCCGCCGCAGCAGCAGCCGCCGCCGCAGCAGCAGCAGCCGCAGCAGCAGCAGCAGCAGCAGCAGCAGGAGCTAGAGGACAGCAGCGCGCCTTGGGGCAGCCCGCAGCGGCAGCCAGGGCGCCCGCAGCAGGAGGGTCCGCCCTCCCCCTGGCATCACATTGGCAGCCCAAGCGGCCTGCCTCATCAGGGTGAGGCAGCTTCCCCCCAAACAATTAGTCAAGCGGGAGCACCAGGGGCGGCGGCAGCAGGGAGTGGGGGCAGCGGTCAAGAGGCGGCGCGGGCGGGTGCCAGCCGAGCAGCGAGCCTAGCGGGCAGCGTCGGCCACAGCACGCCCCCTGCAGGGCCTGGCAGCCCAAGAGGCAGCGCCTCGGGGGCGCCGCGGCAGAGCGGCGGCGGGGCCGAGGGGCAGGCCGCGGCGCCGCAGGGGCTGGGCAGCCACGAGCCGTCCGTGGGGTCGGTGTCGAGCGCAGCGTCGCTGCTGTCGCGGCGCGCATCAGGGCCGGGGCGGCGCGCGCGGGTGTCTGAGGCTTCTGGGTGACGCTGGGGCGCGCACAGTGGGTTGCCTGCTGTAGCCGCCCCGGGTCGCTGAACGAATTGATCATGGGTGGAGGCCACGCAAGGCTGAGTGCATGTGACAATTACACAGAGCTGCATAAGAAATGTAGCTGTCGAGAGTAAGGAGTAAAGAAGGCAGGGCGCTCACAGGCACGTCGCTCACTAGACACACAAACACACACACACACACACACACACACACACACACACACACATGCGCACGCACGGATGCACGCACGCACACATACAATCAAGACACTCAGCAGCCGCCGCAGCTCAGCACCAACCACAGTCCATCAGCTGCCCGCGGCCGGGGCGCTGCTGCTGCCGCCGCCGGCCTCCTTGGCCGCCGCGCCCGCGGTGCCTGCACCCTTGATGAGCCCCCTCTCCTGGGGGTCTGGTATGGGCCGCGCGCGGTCGATTTCCGCCAGCCCCGCGGCCACGGCGCGCTCCTTAGCCAGAAAGCGCTCCTTCTGCGATTGAGATGCACAGCAGTCGGAGGGGGGGGTGCAATGTAGCAAACGCGAGTCAGCGCAGCCGGGTGACCCCGGGTCGCACGCTGGGATGGAGGAGGGCGGCTTCAGGGTCGCATGTCCCGCTGGAAGGACAGCGGCGGCAAGGCGGGCGCGCCATCATCAGTCGTGTCCGCGGCCGCGGCCTGCTGGCCACCTGCCAAGGCTGCCATATTGCTGGCCTGGAGATCTGGAGGGATGAGGATCTCCCCCCTCAAACCTCGATCTGGTCGCGCCGCCGTGCTTCGGGGACATATATGAAATAGTAAGCAATGCCGCCAGCCACGATCCAGGAGGCGGCGTTGCGCGTGCCGCGCACGCCGAAGGACGTACTAAAGAGCTGTGCGGTGTATGAGTGGGTGGGGGGGGGGGGGGGCGGAGACGAGTGGCGTCACCGGCACGGGAGGGGGACGGGATGAGGACGGACGGGATGGGTGGCGGGATGTGCAGAGTTGATGTGCGTGCAGCAGCAGCTGTTGGGCAGCAGCAGGTTGCTGTGAAGCATCGTGTGTGAGGCACTGGGGAAACTCGAAGGCTAGCCACCACTCTTCCACAACCATCCCACTGTTGCGGCCACTGCCGAGTGCTCGTCATGACGCGTAAGCGCACACCGCGACGCTGCCTCACCTGTCTCAAATTGCCCAGGACACTCTCTGACCGCGCCATTGCTGCGCGCGCCGCTCACTCGCCGCCGCACCAGTCGCACTGCACTGCACTGATGGCAGCACGTGGGGCTGGGCGATATGTGACAACGGTGGGGCGGGAAAACAACACACGCGCTGTGTTCGCGACTGAAATGCGCCAAAAATAGCGGGTTGACGGGCGGGACGATCGTGAATGATCTCAGGTGGGCAAGCACCGCTGGTTTTGGAGTACACAGGTGATGCAAGTTCCAAGTGTCGGGTGTCAGAGCAGCTGAACGGTGCTCGGGATGGTAGGCAGTTGCAGGCGTGTGCAGTTGCTGACGCTGCTGTTGGGTGAGGTGCGTCACCTTGCAGAGACAGTTCGCCCGGCCGGCGGCGGTGGCATTTTGAGCAAGCTTGTGTCGGCCCGGGCGGGCGAGGGTGCCGGCGGGGCGCTGCGGCGGCGGCGACAGCGTGGTTTTCTGTGTGCGATAGCGCATGCATGGTCGTCTGCGTTTGTGTGCCGCCCGAGCGGGGTGGTGATTTTGGTCAGGGTGATGGCGGTTGTCTGGGGCAGTTGGCGAGCTGCTGCTGGTACGACTTAGGGCGGCCGGCTGCAAGGTTTCTAGGTCGTCGCCGAAGGCCCCTAGCCGCCGAGGGTCTGCTCGTTGCAGGGAACTGAGGTTGTCTTGACCAGCATCGCCGTCCAGTCGTGCAAAACTCGATGTCATACTTCGCTGCGCCGTACTGCGCGCACGCCTGCTCACATGATGGAACCGCGCGTCAGGCCCTCAGGTGGCGAGCGCAGTCGCCCGGTGCATGCTGGCCGCTGCGTCCCTGCCACCAACGGGATTCACCACAACACATCTATCTTGCCATTTTGCCGTGCTCCACCAGCAAATTAAAAGGTGGGTAAGTGTGCCGGGTGCTCCCCTGTTTCCCAGGCGTCCATTGGTGATACTTTCACCATTATCCCGTTTCGGCTCTGCCATTCTGTGTACAGGCCGTCGACGCACCCGCCTTTCCGGCACTTCATTCTTACACCGTGCTCCTGATTGTCGATCGTGACGCTGACCTGCACAAAATGCCGAGCCACGCACTGTTTGCTGGAGCACCCCACAACTGGGGGGGGGGGGTGGGAATGGTGGCCCGGTTGCCTGTCCAGGCCTGTGCGCCTGTGGGCTTGGGAGCGTTGATTATCATGCCAATGATTTTGTCCAAGTCGGGAACGGTTGACAACGTTGCTAAGGTGGCGGCTCATTCCTCTTGCCACCATGATGGTGGTTGCACATATAAATGCGACTCAAGCGGATTCGCAACCTCCAAAACCGGCGCTCGGGGTGCGGCGGACACGGCCGTGGCTAATGCACAGGGGCTGAGGACAGGACCTAGGGCTTGCAGTGCCGCTCTGCCGCTGCTGCTGCTGACAAGCTTGAGTCCTGCAAGCAGCAAGCGAGGCCCTGTCGTGCAGTGCGCCAGGCCTGAGACAATGCTGTAGCATTCAGGTAGGTGGACGGGTGGGGGCAAACAGTCCTAGAAAAGATTGTTGGCACCTCCAGCAGCGAGCAGCTGCATGCGGAAGCATCCAGTTTGCGGTTCCCGCCGGCCGCCGCGGGCTTCGCCGCGAGGGCTTATAACTCTACCGCGCCGCCCCCCTTTGCCAGATGCTTGTCTATTCGTAACAAAGGACCAGATCAACCGATGGTTCATGAGTGGCGGCGTTGCAGGTACCGCAGCCTTGTACTCAGCTAGTGGGGTTTCAGTCTGAATTATACAGGAATCATCAGCCAGTACGTTTCTTGAAAGAATCATGGAACGCCACGCCACCGAGGTTGCTGCGCTTGTCCGTTCGTACTTTCGTGGCACGGAGCGCAGTCTAGGTTTACGTTGACGATTTGGATGCTGTAATTATTAATCACGATTAGATGGACAAAGTACTGTCACGCGCAAGTCATCCCACCTGCCCCCATGATGTCATCCAGCGCTCCTGGGCTGGTCGACCCCGCACTGTCGAAGATGCTGGAGCTGTGCCCCAGCGCACTGCTCAGCTGTGACGACGGCACCAGCCTGCCAGTTAGCCGCGAGCTACTCATGATCGCATCGCCCATGCTGCGCGACATGCTGGCCTCCGCGCACCTCGACGCCGCGCCAGGTGGCGCCTCGATAATCCCCCTGCCGGGCGACAAGCGCAAGGACTGGCTGCTGTCGCTGCCGTTCCTCTACCACCACGCCCCTGATGTCACGTGGGACAGCGTGGAGGCCCTCACCGAGCTGTGCATCAAGTACGACCTCCAGGGCCTGCGCCCCTTCCTGGACAGGTTCTTGTGGGCGTCAGCAGCCACCCTAAGCGGGCAGGTCCCGCCTGGCTCGCCCACAACCCGCAAACTCAGCGTTGCGGCGGTGGGCGAGGCAAGCGCAGTGGGTCAGTGGTCCGTCTGGCGGTGGCTGGTGCTGGCGGCGCGCTGCAAGCTCAGCGCAAGTGTGGAGGCGTTCTGCCATCTGATTGTGCGATGCGGACTTGCGGTGCCAAAGGACTTTGACCTGGGGCTTGCAGGGCAGCCACTGGCCGTCAAGCTGGCCCACAAGCTTTCAACTAGCTACTAATTGCGTGTATTGTGCCACTAGGCAGCCCCATCGCAGACTTGTGCACTGCTGGTGCCGCCTGTACTCCAGCCAGCCGCACCCCATTGGTTTGCTCTGTTGAGTGGTGCTTGACATCACATTGCACAAGCCACCCTGTGTGCGCTGGCGGCTTGCTGGACTCAACAATAACATTTCCCCAGGAGCAACTCCTCAGCGGTGTGTGGCCACTCACTGAGCCGCCTACTCTGATGATACCGTCCCGAGATACTTTGAACAAAGCAAGCCGAACGGTACCCTGGCACCCGGTACTGTTTGAAACTTGCCGTGGCATCAAGTGCTTACAGCAGTAGTGGTGCCGCTGGGCAGGTGACCTTCCGGACTGCCAAAGCACAAAAGCACTCGCACGAGCCCACGCATCACTGTTGCTCCCGGCGCAGCCCTGATGCGAACCAAGGCTTGCACAATAAACCATGCATGGACAATTGTTGCCGCAGCGGTGCAAAACATGAATGACAGCCAGGACTCGGCCCAGAAAGTAATACAGATCCTGTTGAGGCTGGTCGAATGTTGGTGCTTGCGACTGCATTGATCGTGGGTAGTGGTGATTCTGACAGCGCGATGCAATTGGCTCGGGCGCGCAGTAGTGCACCACACCCAGACACACTCGCAGCGAACACCGTTTGACATGGGTCATAGCGCCTGCGGCGGTGCTGCTGCGCCGCCTTGGCTGTCGGCTGCCTAGGCCTCGGGCCCCTCTGCCACCTGGCTCGCAAAGCCTGCACATAAAGAGGGCGAAATTGCGAAAATTCTGGTTGGTTCAGGTGGGGAATTATTGGCGGCCAAAATTCTAAGTTCGTCAAACTCGGAGTGGCCAGCGCCCTTGCCCGACACACAGGCCGTCGCGCGTCCCGCCCCTTCCCTCACAGGTGGCGCACCCAGGAAGTGTGTGGGGTCTGCTGGGTGGGCCAGGGAGCCAGGGTCAGTCACCACCACAGACCGCAGCTCGGCGTTCTCATACCACCTGGGTGGGTTCAGGGTTCAGGGTTCAGGGTTTACGGTTTGAGGATAGGCGGAAGGGCGCGTGAGGAGGGACGAACCCACATCCAACGGGGTTGGAATGGCGCCACAGAAGTGGGCGTGGTTGAGACCCTGGGAGCAGGGCAACGGGGCGCTCCTCTCAGAGGGCTGCAAGCAGAGAAACCGCGCCTGCACCCGCCCATCCCCAGTTCGCGATAGCAGGGCGGCAGGCGCGCGCCTGTGGAGGTCGCCTTGGACGGCCGTGCTGGCCTCGTGCCCATAATTTGTGAGGCAGTAGTGCACGAAGGACGAATGAGTCACCACCGCAATCTGGTGGGTTAAGGCGTGGAGGACGGGCATACGGTTGCGGGTGAGGATATTGGTCTGAAGCCACTGTTGTGCACAACCAAGTTGCAGAGCCCCCGCGGGTGCCGGCCGGGCGACGTTACGGACCCGCTGCATGGTGGCGTGAGCAGTGCGGCAAGGCGGGCTTGCCCCCATCACAATCCCATCCCAGCCCACACGCACCTCGCGCTCCGGCCGGGCCATCAGCTGGGCCATAAACACCCGCCCTGCAAATGCAAGGGGGGTCCAAGTGCAGCGAAGGTTCGGCGCAGCAAATACGGCAACGCCTGCCTGGGCGGTCGTGTGCTGCCCGCTGCCGCAACCAGCGGCCGCGGCCAAGCCAGGACAGCAGCGCGCCAGGCCGCCGCGCGCCTTGCCGTCCACGCCCCCGCCCCTGCTTCTCCGCCGCGTGTTCCTCCGCCCCCGCTGCTGCCCTCAGCACGGCTGCTGCCGCCGCCGCCGCTGCTGTGGCTTCAGTAACAAGGCCCGCCACCGCCTCGAGCCTTCGGCGGCGCCCCCCCCCCCCC